CCGACGGTGAGTTAGAATGTGGGGGAGGAGGGGAACTGGAGGAGAAGTTGCACCTCGCGGCTTGCCATGCTCACCGTCCTCCCGTCGGCGTGAGGTCCGGAGGAACGAGCAGGTGCGAGCTTCGCGGCGGAGTTGCTGCTTGACGCCGCCAACCACTGAGAAAGAAAAGGACTGATTTTCCTTGGATTGGTCCCAGATGCCCTCATGGCACTTTTTTTTTTGCCAACTCAGCCCGATGGACAGGTCGAATAGTTAGAGACCTCATCAAAGCAATTGCTATTTATCCAGAGTCAACGATAGCGTTCGGTGCATTTTATCACGTTTTGAATTGTGGTCATTTTTTACTAGTCATGACATGATTGTGCTGGTTTTATGCATTTTAATCCTCTGAAGTATTTGTAATTTTCTAGAATTTTTCTGATTTTGAATAAAAACCTTGCATTCGGTTCATAAGTGGGTCAAATTATGACGTAGAACTTAAAGAGATTGGTTTTCTCAAATAGCTCACTAGAATGTGCTGAAAAATCTGTAGAAGGTAGTGGACATTTTACAAGTTTTTGGATATTTTTAATAAGCTTCAATTATTTTTATCTCCTAAGCTATGGGCCACTTTGTCTTCTTTTCCCTTTTCTTTTATGGTTATTTTCTGACGTGCTTCTATTAGTGCCCAATCAGACTTTTTTTTATTGTGACACTTGAACTGGTTCTATGGACATGTTGATTGTATTATTTATAAAGCGGGACGAAAGCGAGATTCAGAGTTTGAACATAATACCCCAGAAGGACGATTCTCTCAAACTTCTCTTCCAAATGTGAGCTGAAACTTTTCAAGCAAAATCAATGGAGTATTTACGATTTCCAGCGTTCGTTTTTCAGAATCTTTTCAAACTCTTAATTTAAGAAAAAATTGAAGTGGAAGCGCATAACCCAGTTGCCCCTCCATGGCCTGACAGCTAGGCCCAACTAGTCATTTAAACTAACATGCATTTCTATTTAATCCAATATACTAAGAGAGTCATTCTGCCAAAAAAATATCCCAGCATGCAAGAAGAGCCGACATGGAGGTGTCAAACCTTCCTGTTGATGTGGACTCTTGAGAAAGATCAACCTGTTATCCTTAGAGTAACATTTATCCGTTAAGCGACGGCCCTTTCACTCGGCACCGTCAGATCACTAAGGCCGACTTTCGTCTCTGCTCGACGGGTGAGTCTTGCAGTCAAGCTCCCTTCTGCCTTTGCACTCGAGGACCAATGTCCGTCTGGCTCGAGAAAATCTTTGCACACCTCCATTACCTTTTGGGAGGCCTACGCCCCATAGAACATGCCACGTCACCATATAATTATGAATGAAACAAGGCCCATATCAATGTGCAATTATGCTTGGAAAACACCCAGCACAACATTCAATCACGTATGAGAAAATATTTTCTATTTATGCTTGTATTTAATAAATATGTTACGACTACTTTTAAAAAAAAAGGAGGATCACCCCGACCACTGCATTTGGGTGATGCATGTAGCTATTTTATTGATTATTCAGAAAGACCTTAAAAAGTAGTACATCAGATAGTCTGAAGTCACCATCTTAATAACATCTATTGCTATTCCTATCCACATGATGAAGGGATGCCGATAGTCCGAACTTAATACCAAACAAACATCGCACAAATGCTTAACATCTAAAGCCAGATGCCCCAACCAAGCCACATACTGGGTTTGGGGCACAAACCGGTCCGACGCACTCTCATGTGTCATCGCCGTCATCTTCCACCAATCCATTTTCAGAGCAAACTAACGCACCAACCTTGTCAAGCTTCTTTGCCATCGACGCCACCATGACACCAGACAACATCCTCCTCCTGTGTGAGTCCATCTCCGCGCATCGGACGTCGAGTCTCCACGGCGCCACGCCGCCGAGATCCGCCGCCATCAATGGGTAAGATAAATCACCGCTCCACAAAAAAAAAACGTCCTCCAGTCCCTCGAGCTCGTGTGTACCTCCAAGAATGACGCCCCCAAGGGAGGCAACAACACTAGAGAGCCGCCGTCACCCGATCTACTGATTTAGTGTTTCCCCTCGAGGTAGCTGAGAGTGGCCTTGAACTTCTCCACGGCGAACGCCGCACACAGCACCGCCACGACCGCCTTGCAATAGCCAATAGCAAGTTTTCACCCAGATTTGTTCAAAGAACCTCCATCTCTCGTGCACGGATCATCACCGCCCCTGCCGGAATCTGGATGATCCAGGCCGCCACTGTCAGAACACGGCAAGGAGAAGCCCCCACCGAGACCCGTCGGCCGACCAGAGGAGGCCGAGACCGCACCCGCAGAACCAGATCGTGCGATGGATCCGTGCCCGCGCCGCCGCCCCGGAGCCAACCCCATGCGCAATCGCCACGGCCTGGCCGTCCGCCCGCGTCGCCGTCTGGCCGCCGCATCAGTGCCATGCCTCCGCCTTACGAAGTCACATGTATATCTAATTTTGGTTCTCACATTATCAACCTAAAATCTCAAAATCAATTCCTGGAACAGCGCCTGCCTGCGTGGGGTATACTCTAGTTCACCAAAAATTTCACTGCGTTCCTCTTGCGAAAACATGACGTACAGGTGAGCTCACACTAGCCGGTTAAACATCCGAGCATTTGGCACTCCTCCGTCTCTCCCATAATTAATTAATTAATTAATTAACCAGGCCTCGTAGAGCTTCCCTGGCGTGGCCAACTGCCATGTGCGAGATCTCTGGACGCGCTCGCGTTGACGCGCCTCCATCGACGCCGCCGTCCTGTCATGATCGCCCGCCCGGAGGGAGCCAGCTTCTCATCTACTCGCGGTCGCCGGTGAGTTCCGTCAGTTTTATAATACGACGCGGGTGAAGTGTCTCCTTTTTTTTAACAAAGCACCACGAGGATTTGAAAGGAGAGGACGGGAGCAGAGCGGTGATAACAATAATAAATCAATCAATCAGCTGTGGAACCTTCTTTAATTTCGGGCCACCAAACGGCTGACCCCGCTTTGCCCGTATATTACTCGTGGCTAACTCACTTTCGAACATCCGATGATAAAAGGTGACGAGCTTATTCCGCGGGCACGAAAACCGGCCTTCGAAAAGTCACACATATAGATTTTGATCGGAACCCGTAAAATGTCCGCCACATTCTCCATTCAAACACTAATTAACCGAGAAGATGATCACATACTCTCTCCATCTGAAAAAATTTGTCCCTTGAATAAATGTATCTAGCATCATGTTAATGTTACGTACATCCATTTTAAGGATGAGTTTTTTCAGACGAGGGAAGTACGTATGTATAATGCGTGCCTGAGGGGCATCAACCACGGACCGTGACGAATTAATGGAGCGGACAACCGGCCGGTCGATCGGGGGGAACTTTCTTGGACGCCAACATGAAAAGGACTTGGGCGCCCATGGATAAATACTAGCACCACGTGTGCTTATCGGCTTGCGCCCACAAGGGCATGGTGCTGGGGTCTTGACGTCTCCA